AGACAGTGCCCGATCCAGAGTGAATCCTTCTCTCCTGTAATCAATTACAAATTAAATTATTTATATTGGATTCAATTAAACAGAATAATCGGTTTTCACTAGTGAAATTTTTATGAAATATGGTAAAAAAAGAAATTTTTAAACAATCATTGTCACGATACTATATTATAAACAAATATCGTCATAAATGATACTATTGCATTACTTTTCGGAAGATGATTTAAACAGCGATTACGTAACTGATTTTGGTGGTCATGCTAGGTTCGTGAGCAAGTACTATAGTAAATTGAAATATACGTCATACACACAAAAGTGATCGTACTGGTCCTGTGCGGCATCACATGCTGCGCAGCTAACCTCATATTATATAATGCACACTATTCGTATTTTACTATCGAAACGAAACTGGAATATAAGTACGCAGTTCACAAGGCAATCCCAAAAATATTCATAAAAATAGAAAGGCTTACTTTACTAAGCCATTAAAGTTTTGCCACCTTATAGTCACATGGTAGTGCTTTAAATGGTTCCTTTGATTCAATCTGCAAATCCGAAATTACAGTATCCGTGTTTATATATTTAGAAATCATAGCCAACTGTGGCATCCAACCAGGTGCGAGATTTAGTAGACGAACATCCTTGGGCATGTTGCTAAACCATACTCTCCGTTTTCACTTACGGAAACCTCTGTTCCTGGTATACACGAAATATTATATATCAGAGTGAGTGAAGTACATAGGTAGGAATTAATAAAAAAGATAAAGTAAAGCCCTTTATTATTAATAATTCTATATTACATGTAATGGTAATAGCAATAGAAATGTCAGTATAAAGTATTAATATAAGTATGAGATATCAATATGAATATTAAATATCTTATAAAAGTGACGAATGAAAAATTATAAATCTTTAAAAATGGTCCAAAAATTCATTTGAACTTTGTAACCTTGAGCAACATAATATTTTTGTTTTATAAGAAAGTTATATAAAACAGCTGCAGAATTAGAAATGCTAAATACTTTCAAAAATAACTAAATTCTGTTCAGTATAGAGATGGGTTTCATGCGTGTGCATGATTGAGGAATCATGCGCATTAATGCGCATTCATGCGCATGATAACGTTTCATGCGCATTTTATCCCATCAAAATTTCTCTCCTCTCGGTCGTTTTTGCCTTTTTTTTATCATGCAATATCATGCGCATGAAACAATTCGTGCGCATTAATGCGCATTCATGCGCATTTTATTATAAAATGCGCATTTTTCCCATCACTAGTTCAGTACACTGCTCAGTATTATGTTCAGTATTCTGATCGGTATCTTTAAAAATAACTAAATTTTGTTCAGTACTCTGTTCAGTATCAAGTTCAGTATTGTTAAAAATAACTAAATTCTGTTCAGTATTATGTTCAGTATTCTGTTCGGTATTTTTAAAAATAACTAAATTCTGTTCAGTACTCTGTTCAGTATTATGTTCAGTATTCTGTTCAGTATTACTTGATATAATTTTATAAACACTATTTAAAATGTTATTAAAACTACTTGATATAATTTTACCAAATCTATGAATGTCTACATATGAATTTTCAAGCATTACTTTAGATTCATTTAATTCTGTCAGAATCTCTTTATCGTCTTGCCATTCTTTAAAAATTTTACATAATGTTTCAGCAGATGGTCGTTTGTCAGGATCTTTATCCCAACATTCTCTCATCAGATTTACATAACATCGCGGCGCTTCTTTGTTAAGAGGTGGTCGAAAATTTTCAAGTATTATTTTTATAGTTTGATTTGAAATATTATTTAAATCATAATAACCTAACACAGGTCTTCCGCACAATATTTCCTACATTATTATTCCGAAACTGTAAATGTCGAATTTCATAGTTGGTTGTTTTTTGTTTAAAACTTCTGGCGCGATGTAAGGCAAGACACCATAAATACTATCATTATTTGGTTTCATATATTGAACTGAAAGGCCTAAGTCTACAATGTATACGCTATGTAAATTATCTTGCAATATGTTTCCACTATGCAAATCTCGGTGAACATACTTTTGAGAATGAATCGCATTGAGATCGTAAGCTATGCTGAGTAACAAGTAAAGTCTATCTTCCCATTCCAATTGTGCAACAGAACCAAGATTTTGACGTAAAGAACCCATTTGTGCGTATTTCAAAACAAGAATATAATTTCCGCTATCGTTTCGTGATATGCCATAACATTTTAAGAATGAAGGATTTTTGATTCCAATTTCACAATAGGCTTTCAACTTTAAAAAAAAGATGTTATTAGAAATTTAAACGAAAACAAAGTTAAGAAAATAATAATAAACCAAATACCTCATTCAAGTAATCATTATCACGAATTTCCTTTAATGCAAAAGATAAATTTGAAAATATTGTTGATTCGGATGATTTTTTCACAAATCTCTCCCATTCCGCATGATATACAGTCGCAAAACCTCCACTTCCTATTTTTTTGATATTTTTAAAATTGCTATATTGGATCCAAATCAATTGATATTTTTCATCACCCAACAACATTTTTATATTATCATCATCAATATTGGCATCTGTATACTCCGATTTGATTATTTCATGAAATTTACTCTTTTCCATTCGAAACCAATGATCAGCTTCTTTTAAATCTATCTGAGTCATAATTCCATTTCTGTAACAAAAGCCAAGTTGATTCATCACATCCGCATCTCCCATGTCGGCGGCTTTATGAAGATATTCAAATCCCATTTGCCAATTCTTTTCAACTCCAAATCCAGTAAAATAACACATTCCAACATTATATGCTGCAAAAGCGTACCCCAACTCTGCCGATTTTTTAAAATAACTGAATGCCTTATGTCCGTTCTTTTCAACTCCAATTCCTTCTCTATAACATCTACCAACAACACATGTTCCTTCAGGGTGCTTCATCTCTGCTGATTTTCGATAATAAATGAATGCTTTACGTTCATCCTTTTCAACTCCAATTCCATTGTTATAACATTGTGCAACAGACATGATTCCCCGATTTTCCCATCCCTAATCAGGAACAATTATGTGCATGAAACCCAAGCCGGAACCAACTGAAAAATTTACGTAACTAGTAGAAACACATATTAAAACTGGTGAAGGATTATATCCATCACAATTGAATCCAATATAAATAATTTAATTTGTAATTGATTACAGGAGAGAAGGATTCACTCTGGATCGGGCACTGTCT